GAGGCGAGTTATAGCTTTGCCGTCAATAGGCATGCCTACAAGAGACAAGTCAGTGACCCGTGAGTGTGGTGAACAGAAAGGTGGCTCTGCCTCACCCGTTGCTGGATCAATACCATTTTTAATCATCTCTCGCTTCTGGCGAATCAGTCTGGCTTCATCAAAGCTAGTTCATGAGTTAGAACCAATGAAAGACACTGTGTGGCTCGAAATTTCACTTACTTGACACGCTCCGTTCTCATGATACGCTGTATCTCCCGGAGTTGTTGCTATTAGGTCATAAATCCGGATACCGATGAGGATATTTCCGTTATAATGGCCAGAATGGGTAGATAAAACAGAGTCTAATTAGCCACGACGAGCACACGAATCAAAGCTGACGCACATCATCCAGTCCGACTCTCGCGTCACCTTGTAGATTGGCCTCTAAATCAAATGCTGAAGTAGAATAACCCTGTGCGGCTTGGTCTTCGAAAGTTGTGGGAAGTAAGGTGTAGTCCCTGAGAGACGCTGGGAATAGATTGCGGATTGGTGAAGGTAGCCTTTCGATGATCGCTTCCCGCTTCCAATAGATAGCTTTAAACAAGGATCCGTAAATCGTGGATATTCAAAGACGTGGTCGGGCGAGGTTCGGGCAATTGTGGTTCAACGGGGGATATCGTGTCGCAGGTGTGCGCAGCTCATCAGCGTATGTCACAGGAGGCTGGTGATTAAAGCCACGGATTTCAACGCACCAAGTAGAATACAGAAAGCAAAGAAAGTGTACACAATCAAGAACATGGCGGAGACGTTCGAGGAGTCGAGCGAAAGTAAAAGCGGTGGTTAGGTACAAAGGGCAGTATATAAGGACACGGGACATAGCCTACAGCCAAAGCGATACAACAAATCACGAAACTAATCCCAATCATATGCTTCAACTCCAAAATTCTACAAACCATGTCCATGGGTCAATTGTCTCATAGTCCACTCGCTCATCTCCTCGACATTCAGTGTATCGTATGCGTCCTTTGCCTAGAGAACGATAAAGGTCAGATGAACCAAGTACCATATAATGCAAGCAAGAGGGAAGCAAAAAAAATGTGATAGACTTACTCGGTCAACCCCGTCCAACAATCGTGATACCTGGATCTTGGCTTCAATGGCCTTGTCGCGGTGATCTCTGAAACGGTTCAATGCATCTTCACATAGTCTTTCTACCTACAGGAGTCACTTTAGTCCTAATTTGATTGTATTCATGATCGGAAACTTACTTCAGCCAGGTCGCGCTCCAGTCTTTCCTTCTCAGCTTCAAGCAAGGGGACAGTCACTGCGTGAACAGCACTTCGCGGTGCCAACTCCGCTCTCCACGTGTCCTTCTTCTTCTTTTGTTGTTTAGCTGATACTGATGAGCGGCGTCTCCCATTTGACTGGGGTTGATCAACAACGGTCGCTGTACGCGCTTCTGCGACCGCCTCTGCTAGACAATCGATACCTTCATACGCCTTATATTTGGCAAGTATTTCATCTGCTTTCTCCTAAAGGGAGCGATGAGTGAGAGTCAAGCCGTAAAGAAAAAAGCAGTCTTGCCTGGTCTGTTTCTTGCAAATATTGGCCAAGTTGGACGCGCATAGCTGCAGCCTTGTCTGGATTTTCTTCTCCCCAGGTTCCCACACACGCAAGAAATTGTTCCAGTCTATTCGGCATCGTGTCGTTACATCAATGTCGCTCCCCAATTCTCTGTTTCACTCACGTCCATGCAGTTGCGCTTTTCTTATGTACAAGATTCAACGCAGATCGAAAATGTTGTGCACGTCTACTGGTGCCTACTGGTTGATCTGGTGTATTCTCCATTATTAGATGAAAAGGGGAAGGTCAAGGCGTGACAAGGCTGAGTTTGAATTTGTCGTCAACTTCGCCTGTCACTGCTTTGAATAATGCTACATACCACAACGAGCCTGTACAAGACACTGGGACTAGGCTGAGTATCATATCAACTGAAATATATCGACCTCAGCGGGCAAATAAATCGCTCCATCATCCCCCTTCCACAGTTGCATGTAAACTGACTCGTATCACCCAAGTTTTCAGGTCACGTAGATATCTTTTAGCACGAAATAATCATTTGCATTGAGATTTGTCAGCTAAATAGAGCAACTAAGTGAGAACAAATTAAGTTTGGGTGACTACAACTCGACAGGTATGATAAATCCGAGTCCGTGTGTTCCATAAACCAAGAATGCAACGTGAAAATTGATATTGAAAGGGTATGAAATGTTCTTGGCGATGATTAGCAGATATTCTGTGATTACGGACGACTTCCTCCGGGAGTATTACGTGGTAAAGGTGAGTGATTACCATGAACAACATGGCGTATCACGTTGTATTTGTCTGGCTTGTATATAGTCTTGTGCTCATCTGAGCCATCAATCGTCGGCCGTTGGTTACGCTGCTTTCCTGGTCTGAAAATCGCCAATGCTGTAGGCAGGCCACGGGTCCTGGCTTCCTTCCTTGGTGCATCGGAAGGATACTGGTCTCTTGCCTTAGCAATATCAGCTTCAATAGCAGATAGGCGACCTTCATAGCGCGATCCCACTGGACTTGTTACTTTGCCGCGACTTCCGACTGGCAAGTTGACTGGGAGTCGATGAACGCCAGAAGGTTGATTCATGTTATTAGATGATGTAGATGGATTCGAAGAACCTGGGACTTGTGGCAGAACCGTGCTCCTGCTACTAGTGGTGACACTACGTCTCAGAGATCCCCAATGACGAGGGTCGGGGATTGGGGGTGCAGATCCGGAGGCATTGTTGTTGCTTGTGGATACTTTTACTTTTTTCGCTGCCGAGGGCGTCGAGGGTGTCCCGCTACCCCGTGTCACTTGAGCATTCACTGGGCTACCGACTGAAAATGAGTGCGATGGTGGTTCTGCCGCGCTGGGAATGGCTTCCACAAAGTTAGCTGGGAATAAACCGGTTGCGCTATTTCTGGCAAGAACACCCTTCCACCAATGTTCATGAGGGCGGCCAATCACCTGGATCACATCGCCTTTTTGTATCTCTAGTTCATTTTTCTTTCCCGAGCTCCATTTATGCCTGGCACGAACCCACCTCGCAGCGGTTGGATATGCTGCAGAAGCGGGACTCAAAGCACTGGAGGGCACATGGGGCATGGTAGGAGAAGGTTTCGGCGAATTAGATTCCTTCTTTAAAGGGAGCTCCCCATTTTGACCCGGAATCAGCAGTCGAAGTTCTTTCTTGGTAGTCGGGCTAGCTTGATTGGGTATTACTTGGCTCCCAATAGCGTTAGGACCAGGTTGAGCTATCCGAGGAGATGCACCCCTAAGGTCAATGACTTCCACGAAATTCGAAGGAATCACCCCAATCTGGTCCCGTAGCTTTCCTTGCCACCAACTGGGGTCCTTCATACTCGTTATTTCGATCAAGTCTCCTTTCAAGAATGATAGGTCTGTGGCCTCGGCTTGTTCGTAATCGTACAGAGCACGAACGAAACAAGGGGACCAGGGTAGACGATCAGAGGAAGAGGGTAATTCGGTCGGAGGCACTATCCGTTGAGGGGACTCGACGAAAGTCAAAGAGGAGTAGGTCCTTGTATGTTGGGGCTTGTCCATCTTTTGAGTCATTTTCCCTTCCTTAACCGAC